AACAATTTTATGTTCAAAAGCTAATCGAAATAATGTAGAACAACTTATTTTTTAGGGTCTTGCTACTAGTACATTATGGATGCCATAATGGGGGTCGGACACTTGTGCATTATGGATGCCTTTATCCATAATGTACAACAAGACAAATCCTATTTTTTATCATATATTTAATAAATAAAAAGTGTAAAATAAAAAGAACCCTGCTATGTGTATATAGGTGGGTACATAGGGGTTGACATAATGTGAGTGGGGGTGAGGCTCATACTACAGTATCGTGGGCCCCACCTCACTCACATTATGTCAACCACTATGTATACACCTATATACATATAGATTAATTCAAAAATTTTTTTTCTCATTTTAACGAATGAAAATAAAATATTTTCACATAACTTATTACTAGAAACGAGACGTACTAAACTGTAATTAAAATACGGTGCATCAAATAGAAATGACGACTGTAATATAAGTATATAACCACCTTACAAAATATTTATACCAAAAATCATAAAATTACCACATTGCCACACTCCTCCTCCACATCTCTCAATCTCTCCGACTCTCCCCATGTTTAGGGTTTATTTTCCAAAATCAAATTAAATCAAATGCAACATAATCTATAGAGAAATCATCAAATTCCGACATTGAAAATGAGAGAATCCGAATAATGGCGGCTACATTTGTGCAGCAATTTGCAAAGAAGAAGAACATTTTAAAGAGGTCCACCAAGAAGTACTTAGAAGTAGCGCTTTACAGGAAGCTCTTTAAAGAGGGAGGAGAAGACCAAAGGGTCGCCGAACAGCTGAATCAATTCTTGAAATCTCGCAAAAGCGCTTACAAATGGGAAGTGGTTGAGTCCCTCAAGGTACTCCGCAGCCGCAAGCTCTACGGGCAGTGCCGTCAAGGTATTTTATGGAAGCACAGAGTACGAGATCAATTATTTACTGGCATTTCGTGGGGTTTTTATTGCGGATTCTGTGTTTTATTTGGTCAAAATTTAATGGGGGTAAAAAAACATTTCAGGTCACTAAGAAGTTTCGTTCTAGTCAGTTAACTATTTTTTGGTTCCAAACTTATCAGTGAAATTTTAATGAATTGGAGATAGACAGCACGGATAGAGCGACTTAGTGGAGATAGCTAAATGATTATATTCAATCGAACCAAACAACTAAGCTAAACAAAGGAGTAAAAATCTACGTGTGAGAGGTACAAAAGGCAGGATTAAAATGCAATATAATGCTAGTAAAAACAATTTATTTAAATATTTTCAATAAAATTGAATTTCCATTAAAAAAATTATTATTATTCCTTGCACAATGCTATCAGCAATAACAATACTATCGTAGAAATTAATGTCACCTCTTATGTGGACAATATGGATGCCATAGAACTTGGTAATTGTCCAGTTGGGCTTTTTAACCTGTAAAAGTCAGTTTTTACATACCATCGAACCGAGTTAAATATATGATTTCGGAGGCATGACTTCGTGTTAAATGCACAATTTTGGATAGCTATTAACACCAATATGTCTGCGCATAGGAAAAAAAGGTTTATATTAATGACAGAACTTATATAGGTGAAAAAAAAATGGTTGAAACTTCTTTGATGAATTTGAAACAAAAAAGAAGTTGAGCGATTAAAATGAATGAGAAACAATGGATTTGTATAACTTTTGTAAAAGTAACCTTGGTGGCACATGCTCTTAGGCCTTACGTGAGACTTGGGAAACTCATCTTCTCCAGTGATCTCCTGTGAAAGAAAATATATTTAACTACATAATTACTTGCACTGCTCAGTTTGGATTTACATATTGAAAATTGAAGATTTAATCAACATTCCATCAGCCCACACATTTTGATTGCGATCTTAAGTCTTTGTGTTTCCAACTTTATTTCCTCCTCAAAGTTCTTCCATTAAACTAAACAGAATCAGAAAGAAGCTTGATTTTTTCTTAAAATCCTAACTTCCAATAAGCATTCGCGGAAAAATTAAGAATCCTTCATCTTCATGTATATTAGTCCATGTAATTAAAGGACTAGACACAAAATGAACGAAATTTTACCTTCTTTTCCTTCTTTACTACTCTTCAATACTATTCAATCCTCTCTACCAAACATACTATTAGTGTGCATTCGACTCTTTCTAGGTAGTGTAGACAAGAGCATAGCATCATTTTGGCAAGGAAATCTAGTTTCTGAAATGAGTGTTTTGTATACACATTGTTTTTATCTGTCAATCTATTTTCAGATTTATGCTGCAATAATAAGGATTTCAGGGAATTAAGGTGAAGATCATGGTTAGGACAGCTGAACTCCCAAGAGAAGCAAAAATGGTAGAGTAATAGCGGGGGGATAGGCTTTCCCGTTTATCTAAATTAGCGGTGTTTCTAAAATAATCTGTGAATCCCCCTGCCCTTTCTTTCTACAAAAGCAAGAACATCTTTCTTCTAGTCTCTGTTGTCACAACTCACTATAATATCAAGTCACGGTTCAATCATCTCTGGTAGGCTGGATATTAGTCTTTAAAACATATGGTACAATTACACAAGATCTGATATTTAGAACTCTGTATTTAACTCACTAAATGCCCTGGAATCAAAGAGAAGATGTATGGCATATGCTGTTTGTCATCATTGTAATGTTGTGTGATACATTTGCATTTTGTCATACGTTGTAATGCTGTGTGATACATTTGCATATGAAAATCAAACATTTAGATGCAAAGTTAATGCCACGATAATTTCTTCATTTCTTCAACATTGAAACTCAATATGTTGATATGATCAACTCTTTTAAGTCCAGTTGATATATTAATAACTGAAGTTTCACTTATGGTAATTACAATCCTTGCTAGTACTGATCTCTAATTTGTGTGCATTTGTTTTGTTTTTCACAAATTTCATTTTTGATGTGATCATCTGGTGAACATCCTATATTTGTTATATACAGCTGTCAGAGACCATGACAAAAAGGGGAGTAAACAAGACAATAAGTGATCAAGCGATACATCTAGATCTTGTTGCAAAGAGTAGAGGAATTATTGCTGCAGAAACGTACTTTATTAATCTGCCGGAATTCTCGAAAAACCATCTCACTTACGGTGCTCTTCTTAACTGTTACTGCAAGGATTTAATGACAGAAAAAGCAGAAGCTTTGATGGAAAAGATGAAGGAACTTAATTTAGAGCTGAATTCCATGCCATATAACAGCTTCATGACTCTCTACACGAAAACTGGGCAGGCAGAAAAGGTTCCGCACTCATCCAAGAAATAAAGTCATGTGATATAATGCCAGATTGCTACACCCATAATGTCTGGATGAGGGCTGTTGCTTCTATGAATGAAATATCTGGGGTCGAGAGACTTATTGATGAAATGAAGAGGGATGGCCGAGATGCTGGAGATTGGACAACATATAGCAATTTGGCATCTATTTATGCTGATGCCAGATTATTTGATAAAGCTGAGAAGGCACTCAAGGAACCGGAGAGTCTAAATACTAGACGAGAACTTTCTGCTTACCAGTTCCTGATCACACTGTATGGACGAACTGGAAATCTACTTGAAGTTTACCGTATCTGGCGTTCTTTGAGGCTTTCATTTCCAAAAACTCCAAATATAAGCTATCTAAGTATGATACTGGTGTTGGTTAAGTTTAATGATTTACCAGGTGCTGAGAAATGTTACAGGGAGTGGGCATCTGTATGCTCAACTTACGATATTCGAATTCCAAATGCCCTAATTGGAGCTTATCTTAAAGAGGGTTCATTAGGGAAGGCTGAGGTGCTCAAGGCACGGGCAAAGAGGAGAGGAGTCAAGCCCAATGCTAAAACATGGGAGCTTTAACTGGATTACTATCTGAAGAATAGAGAGATTAAATCAGCAGTAGATTGTATTGAAAATGCAATTTTAACTGGTTGGGGAGATGGTGGTAAATGGACCCCTTCACCTGCCGGGGAACTGATGCGACATTTTGAGCAAATCAAGGATGTTGAGGGTGCTGAACATTTCTTGGAGGTTCTGAAGAAATCAAAAGACGAGTTGGGATCAGTACCTGAATCATTGATAAGAATTTATGCAGCCGCTGGAAAAACAAGTCCCCTCATGTGCCGCTGGATTAAGATGGAGAATGCAGAATTGAGTGAAGGAGGTAAAAAATTACTGGATGCCGTCTGCAAGGAATGAGATCTTTTAGCTACACATATTTTTCTGTATGAAATTTTCCTTCAAAGTGGTCATTTAAACATATTGCCGGCTATAACACACTTTCGATACTAACAAGATTTGCCAATGACAATTCGGAAGCTGATTTGTTCATTTGAACTCTTCTTGTATATGGTAGTGGCTCTCTGTTCCCACTTCCCATGATAAATTTTAAGAAATTTCATGATCAATTTTTGTACCTTTAGCAGCAATAATACTAAAGTAATTGACAGTTTGGTCATAGTATTGTTGTACCTTTATCTTGTATTATTCCGGGTACTACTAACTTTGATATACTCCTGTTACTCGTACCTAAATTCTATGTTGCACAAAACACCATGGACCTATAATATGTAGCTAAGACGCACTTTAAACTTTGATTTCCTAGGTTTGTGGAAGACAATAAAATAAATGGAATTCTGCTGTTAAGACATAAGATTGACATCACTTTATCAAGGTCGACAAATACGTTTAGAGGGCTAAACCAGACTTGTCCGGCAAGTTTTGGGCATGCCCGTGTCAAGTCAACCTTGGCTCGGCATGGCTGGGTATGCCTGAAGTTAGCTGGGTTTAGCAGGGCGAGTCTCGTATCCTGCGCGAACTGCTGTAAGGGTGGAATGGCTCTGTCTGTGCCTTTTAGGTATCTGTCTGCCTGGACTGGATAGTACAGCAAATTTTAACGCCTAGACATGTTAGGTAAGACAACGGAAAAAAATCGGGTAGAAATATTTGACTTAGAAAATCCTTGACGCAGAAGATCTTTGTTGAAATATTACAAGTATATTTCATTAGTTTTCACTCAATTAGTCCTAACAAGCTTAGGTCTCCACGACCTCCAGCCCAGCCACTTGTTCTCTCCAATTACATGATCAACAAATCTCCTTTTTAAAAAACTTCGAGCAGTAGATTTCTCGTCTTTTTGAGAGGAGTTCTCTATATCTGCTTCAAGACTTCCATTGTCACTCTCCTCAACAATCTGGTTCACCATCTCGAGAACTTCGCTCATTCTTGGCCGGTTTTTTGGATGTCGAACTAAACACCTGTTAGCAATGGCTGCTAGCTTTTTTGCAGACTTGAGGGAATATTTCCCGTCTAGTCGAGGATCAAGTATTTGTTCGAATTTTTTACTGTCAACAAGGTGTGGCCTGACCCAGTCCAAGAGCTTTTGCTCGCTTTTAGGTCGGTTTCTATCTAGAGGGCGTCGACCAGTGATGAGTTCATACAGAAAAACCCCATAACTCCACACATCACTCTTCGACGTAAGGTGCCCTGTTTGAATATACTCTGGAGCAGCATATCCTACTGTTCCAACAACCTGTTGGATGGAAAAAAAGATCGCTAGTCAAAACTGTATAATGCAAAGTTAGACAAAAAATTTAGCAAAAAGAAATTATGCTGAGCTGAACAACAGACTAGTATCATAGTATAAAAGAAGCTTCGTGTTTTTTTTTCTTGGTGGCGAAGTAACTCGGCCTATATTTTCTCACTGTCATTCCCAAGGCCAACAGTCAGCACAAAACTTTGTCAAATTTTATTACATGAATCATAAGGCACGCTCGTTGGGGCGTTCCTAGTATGGTGTTGTCGGAAAGGATTCATTTAGTGACTCCAAATTTACTGGAAACTATGCTTAGTTTAAGGAATAGATGCAATAAAATTAGATAAATAGTATGTACCGCTGTGGAGACGTGGCTTAATCCTTCTGAAGGTCCCAATCTTGCTAATCCAAAGTCTGATAGTTTTGCACTCCATTGATCATCTAACAGAATATTAGATGATTTGAAATCCCTAAATATAATCTGCATCAAAATAATTCATATGTATTACAAATTTATTTTGATCCATTTGTGCGAAACTACTTAATATATTTTTCATAATATACGTTTAAGAGAATATACTCAACATGTAGACAGGCACCTGAAACTCCATGCCTTCATGAAGATATGTCAAACCGCTTGCAGCATCTTGGGCTACTTTCAATCTAGTAATCCATGGCAGAGATGCCTGAAATCGACTTGATAAATGATCTTGAACGCTCCGTTTAGGCATATATTCGTAGATCAGGAGGCGTTGTATCCCCCTCTCATCGTCCTCAGCACAGTAGCCTATGAGTTTGACGAGATTTGGGTGGTCGACAATGCCAAGAACATTCACTTCTGTAACCCATTCCTTGTGTCCCTGTATGAATTACGATTTCCAAAAATAAGAGTGTGTTTGGTAGGGATTTTTGGGGGAAGAATTGATTTTTGAATAGTGATATGATGGGAAATGTGTGGTTGAAAATGAGAATTGATTTACTGTAGAAAATCAAAATCCATACCAAACATGCTCTAAATAAATTAAAACAGATGATTCATTGAAGATGGATCCTACAACATAAATGAGTCTTCTTAGGACGTTTGGTACACAAAACTGGTTCTCTCTTTACTGTTGGTATTATAATGTCTTGGAACACAGACATGACAGTGCAACGAACAAGAAAGAAGGCTTGCCTGTAAACCCCTTTTGCTGAGTTGTTTAACAGCAATATCGATCCTTTCTGTCTCCCTCAACACACCTCTATACACGGGTCCAAATCCGCCTTCTCCAATCATAAGGGAACGGCTGAAATTCTTCGTAGCTGTCTTCAGCTCTGCAAATGTGAAGACCCTAAGGTTGCTAGGTCTTTGGGACAAACTTTTGAACGAGAACCTAACCGAGGATTCAGTGCTTGTATCGGAAATGTTCTGAGAGTTGTATTCGAATCCAGATTTCTTCATATCAGGATCCGTCGAGGTTGATATAGATGTAGATGAAGGAACAGGAGTATACTTTGGTGTCTTTGGTTCATCATCTTTAGTACTATTGGAGAATGGAAAGCACCTCATATCTACCCAAAATTTCAAGTCCTTACTGTGAATGCATATCCATGAAAAATTTCAGCAGAACGACGAAGAACGGTGTTACAGTTTTTGCAAGAACTCTCGTGTTATTGTACAACTATAACGATGCCCTCAATTGCTAGTCACTAAATCCTAAAAGATGTTCATAGAGAATCAGTAATCATGAAAGAGGGTGCACAAGAAGCTAAAAGAGGAAGCCAATTTAGATTGCTTAGAACACCATAAACGAAAATAATAATGCTTATTTAATTATTGCTCTGGGGTGTAGGCATGGGGACAAAAATCACTAATCATCATAAAAAGAAAAACAAAAAAAAAAAAAATTCAAATCAAATCATTGTTCTGATCTTTTCTTGATTACCAAAACAGACACTTTAAGATCTTTTTCTCAAGATGGTAACTTCAGGAAAACAAACAGTACAAAAAAGCATAGAATAAATCATTCAAGAAAGTCCAAATATAAACATAAATCAGAATTTTTCAGAATTTTTTTACCTTTGAGAATGAGAGGAACAGTATATGAATATTTACCCTTTAAAACTCTTCATCTTGTGGGCTAGCTAGTTTTCAAACAAATAAATTGAAGCAGTAAAGGGTATTTAAAGACTCGTGTGGCAATGAGGATCCCATGATCTAAGGAAGTCAATGCTAGGCAGCTGGAAATTTGATCACCAACCATACATCCCATTTGAAAACGACGTGGATATAGAAAGAGAAACTAGTACTCATTCCCTAAAACTCACACTTTCAAAATTTGACGGGCTTTACTACCGGTACATCAAGGTGTACACAAGGGGTTACACCCCTCTCACATGGGGGTGGAACCCACTTTAATAAAAAAATATTATTCAAGTGGGTCCCATCCCCCATGTGAGGGGGTGTAATCCCTTGTGTACATCTTTTGATGTACAAGTAGATAATTTCAAATCTGACTTATTGAAAAAAGTGTACGTTTGCTTATGAAGTCATAGGATAGTCATTCACAAATAACGTCGGATTGTGGTCGAAATTTTTTGAGTGTTTTCATATGACTTTATAACGACTAATTAACTGCAAGAAATTATTTGTGTATGATGAATGAAGATGTCGTATTCTTGGTTTGAAATATGTACTTCTTGACAAAGAAAGCACGGTTTGAAACAAAATAACACATTCACAAAATTTAATACAAAGGCTCACATCATGCCCACCTAGAATTAAACTAGCCTCCGTTTGGATATAATTTATAAATTTAGTCAAAATTAAACATTAATTTAAACGATATGTTGATAAAATTCGCTAGCATTTATAAATTTGCTAAAGGGAGCATAATTCATTTGGCAGTTTCAGATTGTGCCAGGTGACCTTGATAGAAAATTAGATAATCATAAGTAAATTACTCCTAATTGTAAAATCATTTAATAACTTGAATCATTCATTGATAGATAATCACTATGAGTCCGGTTTAATGGAATTTGATCAAACTTTTTTTCATCGCTAAGGAGGAGAATTGAATCGGGCTTTTTCAATCTATGTCGATTTAAAGCTACGTCATACTGCTCTTATTGATAGGGGTGGCTACATTATAGGGCCACTATTCTCTTCCATCGCCCCACTTAGGGTTTTTGAGAGTCAAAGCGAAAATTAAAATATCCTCATTGTTACTGTTATTTATGTATTTTTTAAATTATTTTTTGAAAAAAATTAAAGATAAACTAAAGAAAGTGGGGCGTGACTTTTATTTGTGAGTATAAAAATCTTCTTTTAATTAACATTATATTGAAACTACAATGATTCTGAATTGATGATGAGAACAGCTATTGATTCTAGAAGCCTTTCAAATGTCAAAAAAAAAAGCTATCTTTTTTCTTTCTTTCTTAGAGAAACAGCAAATTCATCATCTCAATCACGCGGCTACATTACACGTGCCCACGTTTAGGGTTTTGCACCCAAATAAAGAGACTTGTTCAAATTATTAGTTGTCATGCTAAGACTTTTAAATCAAGAATACTAAATTATGTCTAGAAGTAGCCGTTACGAGAGCAAGTTTCTCCATGACGGATAATGGTCACCAATTATAAAAAAACGTAATTCTATACGAAAAGCGTAACTATCATCTTATAAACTTTGTATGATACCTTATTAAGACAATTCGTTATACTTCAAAAGTGATGTTATGCGAGGCTTTTAGCCTTTAGAGGATAACTACAGGTACATAATATATGTACTGATTCTCACAAACATACGTAACCTATGTGAGAGAGTTTGACGTAGCATGAAATCATAAACTTCCAACGAAAATTAATAAACTCGAATATATATTAATACTTCACGGGATTATCGAATGTTTGACAATCAAAACTCATTAATTTTTCCATTCCGGGTCAACAAATTGCTAATTCTTTTAAATATGATTTGAATCGACAATGGAAGAAGAAACTCAAAATTTTAATATATTCAATCAAGACCAGTTCAACTCTAATCCTATGTGCTAAACATAATTGGAAATTGCTCACTGAGTTCCTAAATTCTTAAGAAAATACATATAAGACCTAATTAAATAAAATAACAAAATAAAATAGATAAAATACTATAAATCGTTTGTCTCCACTTGGACTGCATCAGTGTCAAACCTCTTTCAGCCATCGCGAAATAGAATGCCTTAATTCGCATGATGAGTATAAGACTCACTTTAAACTAACAATAATGAAAATGAACTCTTCCATAGAGATTCTAACAAGATTGCCACCAATTTGATATTTTTGCTTGTGCGGATGAACAAGAGTTTAAATTTAGGAGTGTGATAAGTGTATATCATGCATTTATTTGAGCTTCTATTCTTAATTATTTATTGCTATATTGTGTTTATGTATTTTTAATTAAGTGTAAAATATGTTTATTGTAATTAAAATTCCAATCAGGATATAATTGACGTGAAGAGGCCGTTTTGGAGCTCAAGTTGGGTGGATTTGGAGAAAATGAGTAATGTTATTCACAGTGAGGACTATCGGTAATCACTCTACTATGTATCAAATAACAAATCGTCACATGTATGCAACGTAAGATGACTATCGATAGTCTTCATTATAAATAGCGTTATTCGGAGAGAATTGTAGAGCATCTAGGGTGCACACGATCAATTGGAAGAACTAATAGAGCATTCAAAAGAAATTCATATGTTTTTGAAATTAAATAATTAGAAAGTTTGAGAACTAATTTACAAGCTTATGAAACTTGATCTATTCAATTATTAATGAAAGGATAATTGGCGCAAAACGTCTATACCTTTGACGGGTCTTGTGCATAACGTCCCTACCTTTCATTTTTTTACGCAGAACGTCCCTACCTTTCACATTTTTGGCACAAAACGTCATTTTCCCCAATTTTTGACCATTTTACCCTCCAATCTAAATAAAAGAAAAAAGAAAAATAAAAAATAAATTGCAATATGTTCCTAAACTTTTTTCAAAAAACGAATCAGTCCAAAACTTATAAAAATATTAAAAAAAAATTGTTAGGAGCTTCTAGCTACCGGTTTGGACCCAATTTCCACCTCATTCTGGCTACCAAAATCGTCGATTATCACTGCCAACTTAATCTCCTCAACATCCTCTACAATTTTCACCCATAGAACTCCCCATTTCATCCACTTATACACCCGAAATCATGCATCAAAACCAACAAATCGAAATTCTGCAACCTACCGAAAATTTCTCCTCCGGCCACCGTCATGGTCGCAGACCACCACGAACTGTCTACCCAGATCCAAGTGACATAGAATATGGCCCTAATTCACTCCAAACAACACACCATCAAACTGAATTAATTCATGAAACATTGCTGGTTAATTCTTTTATCAAGATTTCAAAATGAGTTCACGGAGATCCTCAAAACCCATAAAATCCCCTAACCAAGCAACCCCTTCAAGATCATTTTCTGCTTCATCTTCATCTTCTTTATCATCCCATTTAGCCATGGTTGGAATTGAAGCAGAAAATCATCAACTCTCTATCTAAACTTTCAGACCGCGAAACCCACCAATTAGCTGTGGAGGACCTTGAAAAAAATTATAAATTCATTATCAAATGACGGTGTTTCGATACTTCTCAACTATCTCTATGACGCTGGCAATGATTTGAAACCTGCTGTGAAGAAGGAGAGCCTCCGTCTCCTTGCTGTTCTCTGCGCTGCGCACTCGAATCCCTACGCAACCCACTTGACAAAAATAATTGCCCACATTGTGAAGAAGCTCAAGGACTCAGATTCACCTTTGCCTGCGTTTCAAAAGCTCTATTTGAGGGTGTGCAAATACTTGAATAGCCCAAGAATGAATGTGAAGTGAAGGGGCTTTTTTGGATTGATTTGCATTTTTAAAAAAGTTTAGGAACAAATTGCAATTTATTCTTTATTTTTCTTTTCTTTTCTTTTTTATTTTATTTGAATTGGAGGGTAAAATGGTCAAAAATTGGGGAAAATGATGTTCTGCGCCAAAAATGTGAAAGGTAGGGATGTTCTGCGTCAAAAAAATGAAAGGTAGGGACGTTATGCACAAGACCTATCAAAAGTAGGAACGTTTTGCGCCAATTACCCTTAATGAAATGATGAGGATTAGGGATTCAATAGCTCTCGTGCCTAGAAGCCTCGAGTTTTAACTTGTGTCTCACGGGAAAACCCGTCCAACTGTCCCGTTGAAACGGAACTCGGGCGACCTGCACTTGTCAAAAAAAATAAAAATAAATAAATAAATATTATGGCCAATAGCCGGCTTCTCTTGCATCCATAACCCACTCTTCTCTCTTTATACGCAGCCACCACGTTCTAATTCTATTAGCCGTAAATGTTGATTTGAGGGTTTCTTTCCATTGTTTCTTAGGTAAGTCGTGAAGAAGAAGAATAATAAAGATGCAAAGAAGCCTTTTCAAAGACAGAAATGGAAAGGTCAAAACAGATGGCTTTTTCTTTCTTTCTTTTTTTTTTTTTTTTCAATGGAAAGGGAAATTTTGAAG